AGATAGAAAAAGCAGTCTGAGAAATGATGGGAAGGTGGGAAGAAGCAAGGCATGTTAGAAGCTCAAGTTTTTAACTTCAGTGTGGCTGAGAAAAAAAAAGTGTCACAAGTTGTGTAATTACAGAAGAGCCTGGAGACTTAGGTAGGGGCAGTTTTCATCTCTTGTGAGAGCGATGAGAACTGAGGAGCTCAAGATGTGGCAGGTGAAAGGAGTATCCTGATAGATCAAATCCTGATGGACAATGGAGAAAGGTGTCAAGAGTCCAGGGGTGATGCCCCTCGAGCTGGAAGGGGAATACCTGGTTTGCTCCCTGCACATGGAGTGAAGGAGACAGAGATACGTATGGATGCAGGAGACCTTGTAGCAGTTGAGCAGGTACTTGCTCCTTGGCTGTGATCTTTCCATTTACAGTCAACAGTTTTCCTAATTGTAATGTACTTAATGGTGGTTTGGGTATGGTTTGTTCCCTCAGATTTCATGTGCTGAATGTTTAGTCCCCAATGTGAGGGTATTGAAAGGCGGAGGAACTTATAAAAGGTGGGATTCAGTAGTACGTGATTGGATTATGAGATCCCTACACTCGAAATTAATTAATGCCTGTCTCATAGGAGTGGGAAAGATCTTAAGGGACTGCTACCGAGAGCAGGTTGTTATAAAGCAAGGAAGGCCACCCTTTACACGTCTGGTTTTTCTACTTGTGCGGCTCAAGGCTGTTGCTCATGCTTCCTTCCACTATGTGATGGTGGTTGCCAAGTTATGGTGAAACATGAAGCCCTTCACAAATGTCACTGCCAGAGTTTGGACTTTCCAGGCACCAGAATTGTAAACCAGACAAATCTCTTTTCCTTCTAACTACCCAGCCTCAGGTATTTTGTTATAGTGACACAAATTATATTAAGATATTGATGTAATAATTTTGGTAGTATATCAAATGTAAGACAATGGAGATTTTCTGGATAAAAGGAATTAAAAATCAGTTATTTAAAGAAAATTATCGATAATTCTAAAGTATATAATTAGGACAAAAATCATGAAGCTGCTATGTGAATGGTGGGAGCTGCAGGACCTTGGTGTAAGAGATTAAGTGAGGCAGTAAGAGAAGAGGGCCCAGGAAGGGTTTGGGGCTTCAGGAGTGTGTTGAAGGTTTGAAGTAACTGTTGAAAGGGTGGGTGATGGAATTCTATGACAACGGAAGAATTGACAGGTTGTGCTGTGAGTCCAGCCAAGACTCTAACATGTGACTTTTGCACTACAGTCAATCTGCATGGTTGTAAGAATTGTTCCAGCAGTTCAGCTGCCTGCAGCAAGGGCTAAGAAGGCAGATCCTAGGATTAGGTTTTTCTTGGAGGTTTTAAGCAAATGTTGGAAAGGCAGGGGAATCAAGGGAACCTCTGACAAAATGATCCAAGTGATCAACAAACCATACAGGGCAATTCCGCTACTGGGTATATATTCAATTGAAATTGAATTGAAAACAGCAATAAGTGTTGGTGAGGATATGGGGGAAAAGGCACACTCATACACTGCTGGTGGGACTGCAAATTGGTGCAGCCAATATGGAAAGCAGTATGGAGATTTCTTGGAAAATTGGGAGTGGAACCACCATTTGACCCAGCTATCCCTCTCCTCAGTCTATACCC